CAATGGAGGAGGTGCATGATAGATATTACCATAAAAAAATTTCCTGTCTGTAAGATCCATCTGCTGAAGTAACAAAAGGAATGGCCAGACCCATCCAATTTCTTCTGCACTGCTTTACCAGGAACAGCCTGGAATGTTTTATGCGCAAAGGGAACTTGCCAGCATAAACTGCCTACCACTGCACTTGACCTGTGTTTTTGTTACAGGGCTATCTCCTTACCTTCAGGCCTCCTGTGTGTGGATGTTTGACTGTAGATATTTCATAAATACTCTGCATGTTTAAACTGCAGTATATTAAAAAAAACCTTTAAAACAGCTATTACATATTTAACCTATTGTGTATTGTGTTGCTACAGCATTGCAGAGTCAGCAGAATTAGTTTAGTTTACTGATTACATGCCACTACCAGCTGCCTACTTGTTCTAGTAGTAAATGCAATTTCTGTTGACTCTTTCAAATCCTTATGTTCCACCATTCCTCCAATTTATGCAGGTCAGGAGCTTTTTAATCCAATATATCATGTAGCGAACAAGTATTACCTATCTCCTTAGTACTAAATGTTTTGATTTTTTCATTAAAATATTTAAGTTAGTGACAGTTCAAAGAACAATTGCTTTTCAGTTTTAAATTACAGTAAAGTCTTTCATGACTTGAATAAGCAATATCATGGTCAGATGAATAGTCTAAGCAGCAGGGAAGCACCCTAAGGTGGTGTGTTTTTCTCCCCCAGTTCCTTAACTTACATCAGGTGAAATTCTTATTTACTATTTATGTAATTTGTTAGTACTTACAGACTGCATCTGTTTCTCAGATTTAAGGAATGATTACTAGTTAAGTGCTCATTATGACCAACTCAGTTTGGTGTAAACTCATAGCTTTATAAGAAAAGAGAAAATTTCTGGTTTATTGTTATTAAAAAAAAATATACATAGTAGCACACAGTTGCTCCAACAGTGTTTTCTAGTACCAGGCATAAAGAATGTCTCTACAGTTTGAGGAGAAAATAGCATCACCACTTCTGAAGTTTTCCCTTAAATTTAATCCTTACCAGTTCTTGACCACCTCCTTGTCTCCCTTCATATAGTGCAAGTGGGGCAGAAAGAAAATGCCTCCTTTCATGTGAGTTCAGATGTTTTCATTGCTGTGTAACAAGCACTTCCATTAATCGAGTTTAAAAATCAGTATTTTTCTGGAAAGTTATTTCTTAATTTTTAGCCCTGTTCTGGTTGAAGTAATTAACAGTTTTCTAATTTGACCTGTTATTTTTATGTCAATTTAGCATTAAAATTTGGCGAATTTTCCACTGTAATCAACAGTATTTAACAGTAGTATTTGACACTGAGAATTCTTGTTTTTATTGTCCTTACTCTGTCCTTTGAGGATACTGCCTGAAGAAAGGAGTCATATAAATGGCTCTTCTATCTAAAGACACAAAGACTGCTTTGTATTTGTTTCCTTATACAGCAGTTTTGTAACCACAAGGCAGCGGAGTTTTCCTCTTGTGCTGTGTAACCTGGAACAGCCTTGCTTTTGAGCATCTTTGTATCTCTTGCTTCCTGAGTGCCATTATTGCAAACTCCTCCTTTCACCCAGCCACACTGGGGAGAAGTTCTGGTCACCAGATGCTGTGCCTAAGGGTGGGGTAGTAGCATATCCCATAATATTCCTGCAATGCTTTTTAAACAGAATACAATATCAGCGAGGCCTTTATGTATCTGGGGAGCATGACATTTAGCAGAGCTTTTGTCTGGTATCACAATACAGTGTTACTTCAGGAACATGAATGTAAATATTTGCTCCATTTTCCTGCTGCATTATCTTAGGGAAAACTACACTGCTGTTTGCTTGCTGTGGAGATTCTAGCCTGAGGAAGTGGCTAGTAGCCCCCCTTCCAACCTAGCAAGATCCTTTCAGCTTTGTTCACAAGAACAAATTGAAAATGTGTATTTCCATTACTGAAGGTATCAGCCTAGACACTGAGTTTGCTACTGTCCTTTATTTGCTTCATTCTCCAATTTTCAACAAAAAATGTAGTGGGGAGGGGGCGGGGGAGGGAGATTAAATATCCATCATCATTCTCTTCATGCATCAGTCTGTTATTTCTAAATTTTTTTCCTGCCAGCACAGCAATATATGTTATCAAGACTAGTCCAAAAACTTTGCTTGAAAATTTAGCGTTACCATGCTTCATTAAAACCAATATTCTGTGTTCTGTTTGATTAGACTGGTGTATGGACCACGCTTGCCAAGATTGAGCAAAATTTTTTAAAACCACTGCATGTAGGACTCAGTATGTCAAAAGCGCATTATGAAGCAGAAATAAAGAATAAGAAAGAAAACAGAAGAGGTTAGTTCTTTTTTTTTTCTTGGCTTTGTTTGTATTTAGAAACTTTGGAAGCCTTTTGGAAAACAAAGAACTGGTGCATGCTGTATAGATCATGTTATATTTAGCTGTTGTTGCTATACCAAATTTCAAATAATTTGTTAGTTGCTGTGCTTGATATGAATATTTTTTGTAATTGGTCAGAAAAATCTGAACTTGTTTCTCTCTTGCATTTGTAAGCCTTATGGAAACCTGATAGAAATGAAGGCCTTCAAAGCTTGTTCTTCATTTCTAGTTTGATTTTAAGGTTAGACAGGTGGGTCTAGTTTCTCTGAATGTATAGCTGCTAGGTTTCATAGCAGGTGTGGGGAGGTTAACAAGAGAAGAAATAATTTACACAGCAACTAGGTGGTGTCCTAAAGCCTGAAGGATTACGTTTATTGGTTTGTGGTGGTGGTTTTTTGTTTGTTTTTTTTTTTTTTTTTAATCTGACACAAAGAATCAGATTCTGCTCTGGGTTAAGCAGCCATATTCCACAGGGCACGAGGTGTAGCTGCTTTAGGCGATTTCTATGTATGTCAGATCGCCTGTTCCTTTCTGGTCTCTTGTGTAAATATGACAGACCAAGGAACTTGCTTCTGCTACCAAAAATGGCACTGCAGCTTTTTGCCCTTAGTCTTATCCTCTTCTGTTATTGTAAACTGTAAGTATGAGGCAGAGAAGCAGAATTTTTCTCAAGGCAACCTGTGGATATCTTTGTAAAGGGAATCCCTTAAAACAAAACATGAAGCTTTTTCTTTAAGTTCCTCTTACATTTCTCTAACCTTTGACAAAGCATAAAGATACTTGAGTCCAGGAGAGAACATCTAACTCATAACATTAAATGGTTTAGCCTTTTTTCCCCAACGTATAGCCTTTGTAAGCATTATAATGGATTTCAAATATGTGGTCTGAATGTGGTTTTCCCCTTAGTTTTCAGACTTGTCTTTGTAGTTTTGCCTGCTGCAAGTAATCTGCTTGAAAGAGAAAAGCCTGCAGCCTTTTCCTAATAAAATAAGTATTTCATGTCTGGATTCATTAAGTCAAGTTAGATAACTTCCTACTATCTCTCTGGATGTGGAAATACTGAAAATGTATCAAAAAATGACCAGATTTTTTGTCCTTTTAAGGAACATTTTAGTTCTATAAACTTTTGTCACACATACTGCCTGTTTCATAATGTAGTCTTATGTTACAGAAAGTATAGAAAGCGTCCAGCTCAAACTGTCTTCTTCTTAATGTTCAACACCTGTCCTATGTTGTGTCAATCCCTAGGTTTATGGTTTTTTAACAACTACAGTGTATAAATGCTAATATATTAAGTATTGCTTTCATTCTAAAAGATATGTGAAACAGCAGCCTAATCTCTGGGGGGTTGCTTTCTTCTACAGAGGCACACAGTTCTAACACGGTGTGTTCTGTGACTGTTAGTGGGGAAAAGATGCCTGCCATGACTACTGAAATGCAGCTTCAGGTGAGTTTGCATTTCCTGCGTAGCTATTCAGAAGTATTGAACTTTCTTCTCAGTCTGGAGACTAACGTACATGTACAGTGGGTAAAAACAAAACAAAAAATCTTCCAATAAAAATGACATTAATCTCTTTTTGTCATTTCAGGCTTTACACTCTGCTCTCTTCACATTTGATTTAATAGAAAGTGTTCTAGCTCGAGTAGAGGAACTCATTGAAGTGAAAATAAAAGCTGTAATGGATGAAAGTACCTAGATGAAGTATTTGAGTTAACATCCTGCTTAAAAGATCCTTTGGACTATGAGAATTCAGTTAAAAAGGAGGCTACCAGCCTTTAAAGAAGAGCAATTTAGAGTGGCCACTATAAGTATTGCAGATCATGCTCTTCATAGGTCTTGTTGCTGTTACTATTTATTTTCTTTTGCTTTTGTTGTATGCAATTCACAAGTTTAGAAAATAAAAACAAGGGGATTTGTTTTGTTCTTATACTATTACAAGGAGGTAATGTTGTACATTTATTTTTCCATTAATTTTCAAAACTTATTAGATAAATGTTGCTGACTGGTGTTGTGGGTTGCAAAGATTTTTATAAAGCGCTTGGAGAACCATTAATTAAAAAGCACTGTTTAAGTACAAGGTATTTTTTTAGCAACTTTTAATGTCAACAAACAAACTTCTAGATTTACAAACAGGACTCTAAGATACAGATAGATGATAGTAGAAACACACTATGGTAAAGGAAACCAGATTTAAAGAAAAGCACATCACCTTTGAGCCAAATAAGATGTTAAAAATTAGTAACACTTGTGTTTAAAAACACACTGTCAGACTGTATAATCATCCGTATCTTTAATGATAAAAATGTTCCGTAAGATGTATTAAATATTTGGGGAAATTATTATCAACAGATGAGCTCATAAGTTCATAATCAAATTAAAAATAAGGATGACTTGCCTGTGGTGCAGTTAAGCCATTGTTTGTTTTTTTTTCTTAGAATGCACATTTGGTATGATGTATGCAATTTTTCACCATATAGTTATTTAATATAAATTTTCATTCCAAATGTGTAAGTTGTATATAGTTTTTTGAAATGTAACTGTATTTTTAAGAACATTCTCTCTTTTGTTTAAAATGTAGACACTCTATTAATAAAACCAGCAAATACTAAATCAGTTAGACTGCAAGTGGTACTCCTGAAGCATCTTCCAAACTGGACTATTTTCTATGATTTGGGCTTTTGTCATTGTCATTTTGTAACGAGCATCATCTGCTTGTGGCTTGGAAGTTACCTTAAAGAAAAATAAGAGCAGTACACAGTAACTCTTAGGCAGAGGATTTAACATCTTATTTTTCAATTCGTACAAACGTAAAATTATTCAGCAGAGAAATCTGAATGATGTTTTCTGAAGGAGGTGTGGAGGAATGATGTGGAGAGGTGTGATCTGTGCGTCCCTTCGGGTGCGAGACCAGCGCTAGAACGCTGACCGTTCTCTCAGCGTGGCATCGGGTTTTCTGCATGGTATTTCACCAGCGCTTAGGTATGGTGGCTCAGGGTTAGTTGGATGGTATTGCTCCTTTGGCCAGGTCTGTTAACTTGGGGCAAAAAAGTTCATTTTTTAGGCCCGATAGGGATTCTTTGGCAAAAGACGAGCTCACTAAACTGGCTTTGTGCTGCACCAGTAAGAATCAATGTAGTGGCAACCAGTAGATATAGAGTATGTACTATAATCACTTACAGGGCTCTCCAGCTGAAGTTGGTGTAAACATTCTGAACAAGAAGAAAGGCAAGTTCAAGTTTATAGGATCACTAGTAATCTTAAAAGCCTTTAGGTTAATGCTGTATTAAGCAATGGGGTCAGTCATCAGTAGATACCATAAAAAGATTTAAGTACAATGTTCGACATTGTAAATAAGTATTTAGCAACTTTTGCCATCTAAGAAGTGAGATATAGCTTATGAATATTCTGAACAGGTTAATGCTTATTATTTTGAGATGTCTGCTTCAGGAAAGGATAAAATGTAAATTCATATTTGATTCCTAAGATGTCATTCAGCCTGCTTTTTTGATTTTTGGTACATGGGATGCTGTTGCTAGTACTGTCTACCTGTATGCATACAGGGTATGTTGCAGATAGAGAGATAAAATACACTCATTAAGCAGTAGAACTAATATTCTAGTACTTGTATCATTAAAGTAACTAGAGTTTTCAGACTGGCATTTTTACTCTAAGTCATTACATATTTGGATCTCATGCTGGTTCCGCACTAGTAAACGAAGTAAAGATATCCTAAATTAACAGTTGTTAATAAGAGCTGAATTCTTAAATATGTAATTTGTTCTGATAAATGCTATTAAAAGCTTTTAAAGTTACATTTAACAACAGTTTAAAGACTCAACTAAAGCATCCGAGAATCAGTCCTACCTCAATGTAGTACATTATATTGTAATATTATCAATGGTTTGTAGGTGATGTGATCCAAAAATTTCCATTAAGGAAAAATTAATATTTTATAGTTCTTGGCTTTTCCTGGCTAACATACTTCTAAAACCCTAATATTTCTGAGTGTATGCAACCAGACTTACCTTCGCTATAGTAAGCATTAACTTGACAGTTTCAGCAGTATTATGAACTGGTATTACACGTAAATTACTGCCCAGGAATCTGTACATCAAAATAAATTAAAGTTCATGTTACTTTTAGAATGGACACTTAATTTGTTACGTGCTAAAACTCAAAAAAGCATTCTCCATGATGTAAACAACTTCTTACTGTGCCTCCACCACAAGTATGCAGAAGATAATTGCTTTTGTCTTTGCAGGCAATGGGAAAGTTCATGCTGTTTGTATAGCCATCTGTCCTGTTTCTGTACCACTTGGTTAGGTGGGATTTGGAAAGGCTCATTTCTTTTTCAAGGGCTCTTTGACAATCAACACTTCTTAAGCATGCATACAGAGAAAACTAAACCTTCCTCTGCTATATTGTTGAAGACTGTCCATTCTCACTGCCAGTAAAAAAATGTTTGGTTTTTTTTGTGGCTTTGGAAGAACACAGGAAAGCTAAAAACACTGTGCTAAAAATAGTTGAGAATTTGAACTAAATCTTTGTAGTGTACTAAATATAGCGATCTGTAGTTCAGATGCAATTGAGATAATGGGATAATTCTGCTATGAAGACTTGTTCATTCAAGTAATCTAAAATTGATTTTTCTATAAATGATTTTGTTTATATTTGTTCTGAAGATTTAATACTAGCATCAGTTGTCATACAGTGCAGTCACAACAGAGAGAGATCAAAGCTTAGGCAAGCACAGAACCTCTCCTTAAGACTTGTACTTAAGTGTCTTGTAAAAATAACAACAAAGTTAGCATTGCTGCTGGTTTCTGTTGTAGAGCTAAAACGTGATAGGGACTTAATAAAGAATGAGGAATGTTAAACAATCAACAACTGAACACAATCAAAGTGTGCAGCTGCTCAATTGGGTAGTCCCCTGTGATCTCCCCTTGTGACTACCACCTGCTCTTCCCTCTGTCTGTCTGATGACTTGGACTCATTCACATTAAGCCCCATGCTGGTTCCATGCCTCATCTGAACCTGGCTGCCCATTCTTCTAATGAGCAAAACCAAATGTTAGAGGCAGTGTCCTTCCCTAAGAGTCAGTACTCGGGTTACTCTTGAATTTTGCTAAAATCTGAATCAGAAGCTGTGGTTTGATTTACGTTTAGGGATTAGGGAAATAAATAGATGCAACTTTGCTAATACTAGCCATGGGCTACACAAAGCATGAATGAATGAATGAAGTGCAACAAAGGAATAGTTACATGTACTTACCTGGATCCACAAAAACCTCTGTCAATAATTTTGCTTCCAAATACAGCAGGTCTAAATTTAGTTTGTATTTTACTTATTTGATCAAAGGGCAGAATAGAGGCCATTAGAACACATGGCTGCTCTTTGCTCCAAGGTGTTTAAAAATGAACATACAGATTTACTGAGGACATGAGTAGAATTCTCATTTGAGCTGTGACGATAAAAGTTTGCTTTTCTTCTGCTTCCCCTGTGATACACACAAACCTATGCAGAGTGTTCATGTTGTTGAACAACAACTCTATAATTTTCTTGTTAATATTAATAATAAAAAAGTCCTTCCCCAATTTTAACAAAACCACAGATATGCAGAAAGAAACAGTAATACAGGAAGACCTGAAAATAACAGGGAAGTTTGTTTTTTAAGAAATATGACAGGTGACTTGTAGTTGGAGAGAATATGGCTCAAGTTTCAACTTCACCAATGCAAAAGCTCAGTCAGTGGTTTACATGCAATAGCAGAACACCAAGCTGCCACGTAATAAAAAAGCACATGCATCTAAGACATAATTATGCCTTGTCAATGTCAATTTGGTATGGCCTGCAATAATAAAGCTATTATTTTTATTTTATTAAAATTACTGACTTGGCAAATGGAATAGAGCTTCAAAACATCACATTTGATTGTTATCAACATGTGCACAAAATCTGTTGTCCATAACCAGAAAGCAGAACGAGAATTAGCACTGCCATCAGCTGAATAACATGTTCTTGCTGAATGGTGACAGAGCTTTTAAGACCTTTCACGAAAATCTATGGAATTTTCACAAATGGGTAATAGATTTCTTACATTTCATCCCATATGCTCTGCTACTCATCAGCATTTGGCAGTGTGCCCAGGATTTAATGAAACTGGTGCCAGTTCCAAGGAGGTAAAGATCAAAGACTCCATTAGAGTAGCCACTTCTTAGATGTCAAGAGTGAAAATCAACTGCAATTAGGACCACTGTACCTACCAGAAAACAGTTTTGACTACAAGTATGGAGCACACTCTGATATCAAAGTGTTGTCAGCAGGCATGTACTGAAACATGCAAGTTTTCAGGCTTCATTAGAAATCAGATGAAGTTTTAAAAAAGGCAGTTTTATACTTCTAGCATAAAATAACATTGATTATTTCAGTTGTTCTAGTTCTATATAATAGACACTCTT